GAATGACTGGTCGACGCTGCGACCAATCGCCTCGAAGGACCGATCGACCGAAGCGCCTGGATTCACCATGCGGAGATGGACATGGTTTTGGTGAGACGTTTTTCCCGGCGGTAGCTTACCCATCGAAGAAGCGCTTACGTCCGTCTGGTCCGTCTGGTCCATCTCCGGCCGCGCCCCCGAACGAAGACACGACCGAACGGACCTGGTGGGAAGCCTCTGCAGTTGCTGCGTGGCTGCGCGCAGGTTCTGCCAGGCTGGGCCTGGCACCCGCGGATGGCCAGGATGCATGGGCGGCGGCGTTCTGAACCCCATGTGGGCGGGTTGGAACCCAACTTGATAGGGAACCAACTCGTCGTCTTCGCTTCAAGTTGCACCAGAACGCGCCGCTTGGAAACTGTTCTCCTCTACCTAAGTGGTGAAGAACGTTAAGCTGTGTCCTCACGAAGAAGCCGAACTACTCGCAAAGGAAAGTGTTTGCAATAGGTACTACAAGACTTGGTTGGAAGTTAAATCGTGGCCTACTTTTGATGCTAAAGCGCTGGATGCTGAAATCAGTCGCTTCGAAACAGGTGGATTTCACCCGAAGAGACTGACCAGAACTGACCTGCATGTGTCAGTTTCTAGGCCAGAACTGTCGTCTTCAATCCGCCTGGCATGCCAAACAAAAATGCCGCGGCTTCCGCCCGTGCCTGGCCTTCCCGAACTTGCACAACTACTGACCCCGATCATCAGGGGGAAAGCTTAGTTCTGTGGAAGCGAACGTGCACCCTGTCCCTGTGTCTTTATATAAGCCCCTTGGTAAAATCAACGAGTTTCAGCATGTTTCAGCATCGCTCCTGGATGTGGCCCATCTCGCATCGGTCATGGCGACGAAAACGACGCTGGTGATATAAGCAGGCTTGCCAGTCTGCCGCGAAACGGGAAAATTGCCAAGAACGCCATCCACACAATTTTCCTGAACATCTTGGCATGGTGATCTTGAGACCCCTTGGCCCAATGGGTTTGGTGCTCTATTTCCCTTCTTCCACGAGTCGGATGGGAGGTCTCTATCTAAACCGAAGCCGCTTGGCTTCGAGGGCCGCAACGGAGCCTGTTTTCACGGCGGAGCCCGTTGCACGTCCGAATGAGATGGACGGTCCGTGCTGTGATCTGAATGGCAGCGATGTCGGAAGACCTGTGGACGACGCTCCCGTGCTGGTTTAGTCCGTGGACGACGCTCGTGGCGTGTTCTTCACCATACGATGTCGACATGGATGAGTACCCCATGTCACACTCCATGGGGCTGGACACCTGGTCTGATACGCGTGCCAGGTCTGGACGTCTTTCCTTCACCACCCCTGGCCTTTCTTTGGAGTCGCCAGTCCCAACCGTTCTCGTGTCATGTTTAGGTTCTGCCTGTGCCAGATGTTTGTTTTTTTTTCCGTCTTTGAGGTCTTGCGCGAAGTCTGCCGGGCAGCCTGGGTCTTGCGCAGGGGCGCTAGGTCTAACATGCATTCGGTCCTAGAACCTGAGTGACCTCTATTTTAGACCATCAACCACCCAAAATATGATCATTTCCTATCAAAACAAAGGTCACATAGGGTCCTAGGCATCTACTGCGAGCTCCCGGCTAGTTTTGCGTGGCGAGGGAGTTCGTTCAAGTTCTGGTACTAGGGAACTGGACCCTCACCATGAGCAGTTGTTGCACTGGCTCAGTCAAAAATGGAATTCTCCTCCAGGGGCATTGCAGTTTTCTTCATTGTTTTTGGGAACACGTCTCGATGTGAAACAATGCAGGGACCTCAGTCTCTGCATGGGCACGTGCTTTGAGGCCCGGGACTTCGCAGTTCATCACCTTAAACACTTCCCCTGGGTACTTCCAGAGGCACGCGGTTGGCACCGCGGTCGGCTGGCATCGCGATTGTTGCGATTGCCATGCCAAGCAGTGGAAAACTCGTCACAGCTACACGGCCACACTGTCCCTTCGACACGGTAGGGATATCCAAACCAAACCAATTGATCATCAAAATGTATCCAACAATCGAAGCACACGGCGAAAACATGAGCAACCTATTCGATGCCTTCAAGAATGAACTGAGCTGTCATTTGGGACCAGTTTTGGGACCCTTAGACCACTCCACCTCCAGCTGCCGAGGACCCTCAAACCACTCCGGTGCAGGTCCGCTTATTCTTCGGCGGAATCCTCCCAGCACAGCTCCAGGATCTGGATCCGTGTTTCTTCAGGTAATTCATCCCAAGCAGCCAGCAAGCTGGAATCTTCGCCCGAAACGGTCACACCTCGGCGAGGAGAAGAACCTGGACAGGTTGTTCACATGTGCATCCCACATGGCCCATCATTATTAAGTCACGCTTGGCTTGGCATTGTTGTTTTGACCTTTACTACAACAATCATCAACAATCTAGTTGACAAGCTATCGGATGCTATCAGGATTGCTTTAAATCAACCAATGCCAAGCTTGAGTGAGAATCCTACGTTGCTTACACTTCATTCATTATATGTCAAGCCAACGTGCGGTACGTAAGTGGCCGGTCAGCATGACCTGCATCATGACTGGTCTACATGGACTGCCTACGGCGGTCGGTCCCGAAAATCCACGTGAAACAATGGCTTCATTCCCTGAACATTAACAAGAAGCTATTAGTAACAAGTGCCACGCTAGTAGTAACAGGTGCCTTACTAGTAGCAACAAAAAAGCTATCAATTCAATTTAGATTTACTTTAATTCTAATAGCTTCTTGTTACTACTAGTAACAAGAAGCTCCTACATGCCTTCTCAAGGCATATCTCACAAGATCTCCTTGCATCCTCCAAACCCACAGGGTCTGTGTGCCAACTACCTTCTCAAAGGGTCTCTAGATCCATGTCTCTTTGTTCGAACGTGCCCATCCGTGATCTGCCAAGGAACGCCCAGCTCCGTCGCTGGGGCAAATGTTACCTGACTCGATCATGGCCATTCCTTCCTCAAGCGGCCACCTGAGAATTCCCAACGCCCCAACGCCCCGCAAAGAGGATTTGGGAACAGTCTGACTACCTCTGGGCTGCTGTCTGAACATGTCTGGAGATAAGACTTGTTCTTGAACCAGTTTCGTCACAGATTCGTCAACTGTGCAAGCGCCCAAGGCACAAGAAAGCCAAGCACCAATATCTCAAGAGTTGCACTTCAACTGTTTTCGAACACTGACTCTCTCGCAAACTAACATGGAACCCGAGAATTGACCGGCGGTTTCGACCAGTTTCCTCTACAACCCAGTGGTTTCGGGGTTCCATGCGGTCCTCTAAGGGGGGGGTATATAATTATGCTTAATGAGCCTGAGGACGGCCGTCCGGAAGAGAACGTCGATTTCAGCCCAAGCGGCCAGACTTGAAAGCCCTTGATGGGATCGAAATTTGTTTGTCCTCTGTCGACGAGGCTTCATTTCGCTAGAAGCCCCAGTCAGTGACCCGTTTTTTGTGCTGCATTTTGACGCTTGATGGGCTAGAAGGACACCTTTTCCAGAATGAGAGACACGATGCCCGCGTGTCCTCATTTTCCTTCCATTCAGGGATTCAAACTTGAGGGATTTAAGGGGCTCACGAGTCTTGCTTGTCTGGCTGTGCATTGGGAGACGCTAAAGAACTCCTCAAGCATTTGTGGGAAGAGAACTGCCTGCAATAAAACAAGCGGCCTTCCATTACTGGCATGAGCCCCAACGAAGGCGGCGATTTGGAGACTGGTCGATTTCTTTCTTTCAGAGGTTCTTTGGGAGGTCTAGAGTCTATAGGTTCTGACCAGGTATGCGAGCCACCTGGACCAGTCAGTCCAAGCGAGAAAACCATGTCAACTCAACGTCCGGCGCTGGCAAACGCAGCGCCATCGCAGCGCAGGCCTTTTTTCCCATTCAGCTCCGCTTCATCCGTGTCATCGTGCCGTTACAAAACTGACCACCGTGCATGGCCACACTATATAGGTTTTAGGGTGCTCGTCTTGACCCAGTGAATCTAGTCTGCCAAACGATATGGCTGGCAAATGGAAGAGCAGTGCTGCTGCTCCTCCTGTTGCATGGGTCGGCATGATGGTCACCTGCATCGTTGACCGTCCGAGCCCTGAACGGAGAAGATTGGTGACAAAAGTGGCGCAGGGTCGTTGCCAGCACTTTCGGAGCCTTGCTTCTGCCATCGGTCACTCACAGCCGACCCGTCAAATGTCCAACAAACGAATGGCAATATGACATCGCAAGCCTCCACTGCTTGATCAGAATGCTGCAACCCTGACGGGGAAAAAAAAAAAAAACAATCACGTCCTCTAAAAATTTCTGCTAGGAACGATTGGAATGGTTCTAGGGCGTAGCCCAAAGGCGTCCCGTTGATCTCCCGACAGACTTCATCAAGTCGAAGTCCAGATCTGGGAGGACCCGCCGCAGCGGCCCCATTGAACTATGATGGCTTAAGGAGACAAAGGATACTAGCGATGGCCTCGAACCTAGTAGGAATGGCCTCCAACTCCAACCTGCTAGCGATGGCCTCCAGCTTACTAGGAATGGCCTCCAACCTCCAACCTACTAGCGATGGCCTCCAACCTAATTGGAAAGGCCTCCTACCTAATAGCAAGGACCTCCTACCTATACTAGCAATGGCCTCGAACCTGGGATGGGATGGTGAGACCTCTTCTAATCCTTTTCACTTGGATTTGCTTCTCCTAGTTACTTGTCCTTCGCGCGTTCTGATTGTTCCTTTTGCATCTTGCTGCGCTGCGGATCCAGATCACGAGGCCTTCAAACGCTTTGGGCATCCCACTCTCACACGGCACCCGTTTACCCCACGTTGGGCTTTCTCCACAGGAGTCAAGGGGCAATGGACGACATAAACCGAGTTGGTGAGAAACACGCTTTTGGGATCATCTCTTAGATGTCTATGAGCCTGTCTCTCAACCGACGTTGCTGGCATGACGAGGAATGAGGACCAAGGGTGGAGTTGAAGTCACAAAAATGGGTGGTAAAGTATATGTCCTTTTTACATGCCTGGCCTTTTTCGAACCCTCAGTCCTCTGCAACCTTCAAACACACGCAAACGAACGGTTATTCACCTCACGCTGCGGGGTTCACGACCCTGGTGAAAACCCCTCACGGAGCGAGCTCACCCAAACCGGTTCACCCACGGCTCACGAGCTGCGGCCGCAGCTTCTGAACCAAATCCTGGAGTTCCTTCTTGAAATCTGGATCCACTTGGCCGCTCTGTTGGATCACATCCTCAGGGTCACATAGTCTTAGTACAGCGGCCACTGAAAAAAACACGAACGTACTTCGTGTGTTTTGGACGGGTGCATGGGGTCGCGGGTCGGAGCATGGGACATCAAACAGGACAGTTCGATCTGCCGTCAACCCATACGGCTGCAGCCCGCCAAGAATCGAATAAACGCCCCAGGCTGAGTGCTCGCAGGGTCTTGGTTGCTGCCAGGGTCTTCTGGCAAACACGCCCTCCTCCGAGCAAATTGACCCGGCGCTGAATCACCGCCAGCAAGAGCCTGGCGGAACGGCGCGCCAACTTGGGACCATTTCTCGCATGAGTCGGCACACAGAAACCACGCCAAGTGTCTGAACACCAGGTGTGGTTTCAACAGCTGGGGGGCTCTTTAAGACCAACAGGATCTCTGTTTTCGACCTTCGGCGCCTCAATTCTTGGTAGAGATTGGCCTTTTGGCTCTGTCTCCGGATGTGCCTCGCAGGTCGCGACTCGGAACCACCACGGCGCGACATCGCACACCCCCCACACTCAAGAAAAGGCCATGACACCTATGACGGGTCGTGGGTTCCGCAGCCGCAAACCTACTCTCCCTGGGTACCGTGGTGGTTTCATGGATGGCCACCAGCTGTTTGGTCTTCGGATTTCATGGCCTCCGAGTCTTTGGGGCTTGGGAAGCACTTTTCCACTTCCACTTCCATTTTTACAACCTGGAAGAGACCCACATGGAACCTGAAATTCACTGGGTTGTAGACAGTTGTAGAGGAATAAAATCGTCCTCCAAAGGTTCATGTTCAGGTTCCATGTGGGTCTTTTCCCGGGTGTGGTTTCCAAGGAGGCGAGGAAGAAAAAAAACACATCGAAACACAACAAAAATGACTGCTGCTTTTGAGGTTTCAGCGTCCACAGCACGACAGAGAGCGCCATGGATTCATCGAGGGAATTCATCAAAAGCCTTTCGCTCTTGCTGAGCTTCCGCTTTGCTTCTGGATGTTCCAAGTGGCAATACTGGCACCAAGCAGCCCTGCTGCATTTCCCATAGAAGGTGTAGACGCAGGGAGGTGCACAAAACCATGGATGCCCAGTGCTTCCAAGTGACATGGGGGCTTCCTCAGTGGAACAGTGAGAAACATTTGAGAACATTTAGATGTGTATAAAATAGGGAAGGTCCCTAACTGTGGAAGAAGGAACGTAGACTCATAGAGCAAAGACCATAGACTTGATTGAGCTTTCTGCCAAGGACCTTGGTTGTGATATGTTGTGATATGGCATATGGAAAAACGGTTGCCAAGGAGACGTTGGGTAATGAGAGGAAGAAGGCGAAAGCTGTTCTTGGTGCTGCCCGAGGAAGACGGAAAAAATGGACATCCCTATTAAGACTGCTGTGCGGGGTTTAAAGCTGTTTTTGATCGTTATTGGGTCTGAACTCGTTCGCACGACCAATGTTGAGTGGAAATCCTTGCGTAGCTCGGTTGGCCGTGCACTTGGCTATATGGGGTCTGCTGGCTTCATTGGCTTCTTGCTTCGGTCGTCCTGCGGGGCGTGTCGGAATCGCACCCGCCAGTGGCGGGGCCCAGGGGCCCCTGCAGTCTGGCATGCGGTGTGAGTGGCTTGGTATAGTTCACATCTTCCTGGATGTGGCCTGGAAAGGGTCATGACTGTGTGCAGTCATGACCTTTTCGCAAGGATCTAGGATCGTCAAAGCGACACCACCAGGTGTTCTGGTGTTCTGAAGCCCTTTTTGTGGGGAAACATCCACGTCTATACTCCCCTATTTGTCCTGTCAATGCCTGCCCCCTGCGTGGCAAACCTGATAGCAAGTATCTAAAGTTTAATGTCATGTTCCCAGCACATCGCTTTCCAGAAGACACTTGGATCTTGATACTTGATGGGTTATTGATGGGTTAGACCAGTGGATTCAACAACAGACGCACAGAGTTGCCCATTTGGGGCTATGCCCTGACCATGTGTGGCTGAGGCAATCCCAATGCGCTTCCTTGCCTGAGTTGGCTCTTGCCATCCCATGATACTGAACAGTCCTTCTGCACCGCCATACCGATTCTATACTGGCTAGCCGGATTGTTTGCTATGCAACCGGATCCACCGACGTGTGGTCCACCGTTCGTTCCTCCGGCACCGACCTTCAGGGCGGTCACGGCTCCGGTTTTGGGGGGGCCCATCCCATATCCCCACCTGCCTTCGCCTTCCCTCATTCCGCCAGGCCCTGAATTGGAAGCATGCAGAAGCGCAGAAGTGGATGAGTTCCTGCGGTTCTTCTCTTTTCCCGATGCTTGGGGCCACGTCGACTCGAGTCATGACGTTTCCGGAATGAGCTGCGAGGGGTCCCGCCTGGCCCGCCAACATCTCCACCGACAAAAACGACATGAAGTTCACTTTTCGGCCTGTTCGTGTTCTGTATCGAAACCGCCCACACGCGGTTTAAGAGAAAGACAATGGTTCTTTCGGCTTAGCTTGAGATCCTTTACATATGCTTGGGACTGTAACATCATGTAACATCCATTCGTATCTGGTTGTTTGGGCTTCCAGGTGGGAATTGCGACACTTCGGTCCGCGGGGCCTCAAGGGAGGAAGATCAGATTCGAGTCTTGCCTTTTGGGCTGCAGCACCATGTTCCCGCTGCGATGCCATCAATGCTTGTTAAGAAGCGCCAGTCAATGCATTGGCTACAAGATGCTACAAGCGTGGTTTGTGTTGGTCGACGCATGCACTTCGACCCAGGCTGCAGTGCACGAAGTGGGACGTGTGTCGCTCGCTCTGGGCTGTCCATCTCCATGCGCACCAGGGTGGCCATGGCCTCCAGTGTCTGAGGCACTGACCGCCATGTGGTGCGGCTGTTCTACGTTGCATGAAGCCTGGCTGTTCTGTGGCTCTCACGCCAGCGGGAAGCTCCACGTGTGCCCCACAAACACACGGGGCATGACATGAAGCAAAGCCGCTTCTAACCCTGCCTGGTTGCAGGGAGACCCCTCTGCCTTGACTAATTATTTGAATCAATGACCGCCTTTGGCAGGCACTGCGTGTTTCAACGCCCGCTTCGTCACGCAGTGCCTGCCAACCCCGCAAATGTCACTGCTTTAGCCGTCTGTCGCTTAGAAACAGACGGCAGCGAGCCACTGACCATTTGATGAATGCAATGCCGGCCTTATGCCCGCCCTCGTGGGATCGTCTGCTTGTTAGGGCTCCCAAGCCACTTGTGGACGACGACGACACATACTAGGACACATACAGAGGATTGAGAGTGGATGGCACAATCCCCAAGAGGTAGTTTAGTAGGTTACTGTGTATGAACTCCCATGTAATACAGACATCTTGCTCAGTCTGTGCCATTTAGTCTGAAACCACTGTAACAAGAAGCACCTTGCTCGAGCAGCACCTTGCTCACTTGGCGCTCAGGCTCACCCCTCACCTACCAAGGCATCCAAGGCTCCAGGTCCCATAAGAAGGTGTCAGCCGTCTCACACAAAAGCCAATCCATGCTCGCATCCTTGGAGATAGGCATCTGAAGCTCAAACCTGCGGAAAGCCCCCAACTGGAAAGAGACTTCCCCTGAAAACTGATGGTGAAGGAATGCACCAATTGCGGATGGTTCACCCGACTTCAGGGAGGAGGTCAGACGGCAGCGTAACCACCCAGTCGACATCAGAACACCATTCGGTGACGAGTCGAAAATATGAGGTTTGCACCTTGCGGCTCTTAGCCGGAACCGCATGGAAAGCAAAGAGTTCCATCTGGGTCCAACGAAAACCCCATCGATTCCCAAAGCCTTTAGGCCTTAGATCACTAGGGGAGATGTGATTCAGAGTGGATTGGACCAAGTCTGGTGCAAGTTGTGTTTCCTCTTCGCCCATGAGACCCTCACGCCTGAGGATGATGAAACATGATAAATGATGTCCTCTTGGAAAAAGTAGAGGTTTGGTATCACCTACTGCCTATTACTCTTGTAGACTAACTATTGGTTGTTCACTTCGGGGTATCCCCTCTATGAACCAATCATATCACGACTACTCAATCAAAGGCCAAACCCAAGGTCGAGGAGGTCGAACTCCTTCGCCGAACCGACCTGAAGGTCTCCCCTGACCAGGCACACTCTTGGGCGTCGGTGATTCGCTCTGCGTCCTTCGACTTGAACCACTCTCCTCCACGAAGTGGAGGAACGTCCCTTGGCACCTGGGCGATCTCGTGGCCGAGCACCCCTCGTGGCCGAGCACCCTGGCCCAACAGCTGTGCTACGTGCGCATTCATTGGCGTTCAATCTCCAAGCAAAGGATACCGTCATGGGTACACTCCGACGAACACATCACTAACATGGAAGTGGAAACCACCCTGTTTGTAAAGGAAAATTAGTCTTCCCAAAGGCAATTGTCCATTTCCATGCTAGTCAGTCGGAGGGTACCCGTTGAGAAGAAGAGCAAACTCCTTCGCCTCTAGTCGTGTGAGGTCTTGAGTCTAAGACCGGCTAGTCTGGATGGGAGTCGCAATGGTCGACCGCCCCACCACCAATGGGGGTCGGGCTGAAATCCTCCAATGCAAATGCGCGGAGTGTGGCGTGTGGCGGTCCAGTGCCACCGCCGAGCCCCGAAGGCCCCTCCGAGCTGGACCACCTTGGCCCAAAAAAAGGGGATGAGCCGAAACCATCCCGTTCTCATGCCCTCATCCGCCACGTCGGCCACCCCCGTTTCGAACGTGTGAAGAAAAACAAGTAATCCGTCCGCGGCACTGGAGAGACATGGCAGGCAGGTTCGTGCGAAACTGGAGCACAAATGGCTCTTGGACATGGCTCCAATCTGATCACCGACTCGTGCGTCCCACAAACAAGCTAGACACACATAGCCAGCGACCGTTACAGTCGACGACTATTTTAAAGAGGCTCAAGTCACAAGTCGTGACTGAAGCACCATCTTCAGGGTCTGAAAAGTGTGAAGAACTCCGTCCAAGTCTCTCTGGGTATTTCTCAGGAACTCTTTCGACAAACTGTATCGCCCTCTACCAGCACCATGGAAAGGGTGTCCATTAATAGAGCCTTGGAGGTCAAGGGTCCATTAACCACCCCATGGGGGTCCAGGTAGAGGGGGGCCTGGGAGTATACAAGGCTTGCCATTTGTGTCAGGGTTCGGACCCGCCCGAATGACGAAAGGCTCCGCACACCGTCTGACCTTCTAACGAATCCACATGCTCATTCGTATACACAGGCGTACGGCGTATGTGTGAACTGGTGAGAGAAACAGCATCTTCCCAACACCATCCAACACCCCTACCCCAGGCTTCCAACCACCCTTAATAGGCTGAATCCCGAATCAACTGAGGATTTGACACTACAAAATAACGTCGTTCCCATGTTTTTAATGGTCGAACCGAAGTCGCCCGGGGCTATCGAGACCACCTACACCACCTGCATCGAGACTCGCCACCTCTTGCCCTGTCTTTCCCTGTGTCGGTCTCCTGATCGGAAGCCGCGATTCTTGCGCTTGTTGCCAAGGAAGGGTTGGAACTCCTGGTGGTGCAGGTCCGCGGTCGGTGGGCAATTTGCATGATGTCAACGTGTGAATTGGATAAGTGCATTGGTGTATTGGAAGAACCCAATTCCAACGCCTTCAAAAGGGCTTGGAGAGTCTTCCTGTTTTAACCAACTCCTACCCACATGTTTCCCGTCTTGCTTTTTTGGTGGGGAGCCACGAGAAAAATAAAACCAATTCTGTGGGGGGATGCAAAAACGGGACCGGAGGTGAAAGGAGGCAGCAAGGAAGCCAAATGGCTGGGGCCAACCGGATCTGAAGCATCTCCAAGAGTCTTCTGCTTGGCTTACATATTCCAAAGTGCGGACAGCCTCTGGTGCCACCCAGTGGATACCTCGGGTGCCAATTTGTCCAAACCAATGGTCAAAAAGACTCTCAACAAGAATAATGTAGGACCTTGAATCTTGATGAATAACCCCCGCCATTTGGATGCGCGAACTTTTTCGTATGGGGGAGTTTATTAGTCAAGAGTCTACTTTAGCATGCCAACTGCTGTGTCACAGCCAGTGGGATGCTTCCCAGGTACAGCCTCGTGGGCAGTACTCTGTGGCCTCCATCAACAACTCCTCACCATCGCCCCACTGGGTATGGACGCGCGCGCATTTGCCAGCACCGTAGTTGTCATCCCCACCTGGAGAGGCTCTCCGAGAAATAGAAATAGAAAACACGATTCTACTATCTAGCCTCTGAGTCGGTCTCCAAAATGGTGACTGAAATGGATGTAATGTATATGTTTTAATAGGGGGACCCCCAACCAATTAGTTTTTGGTCTATTTCCCTTCTTCGGGGGGGTCGAACTGGGAGGTCTCCTTATTTTGATACACACCCAAATGGAGTAGAGCCGAGTGCCGGCACCGCAGTCACTTCAAGGATGCCCTAGTCAGATTGGGAATTGGGGCCCTTGTCGTCCGGGTCGCATCTGCAAAACCAGTGTGTCACCTTGTGGAACCAGAAAGAGACCTATATTGCAATAGAAATAATGATATATATTGTTATATATATATATATAAGTAACACAAATATATGCACAATCTATAAATTGCCATGAATAATGCACTGGTTGAAACAATCATGGAAGTGGTTGAAGCGCCCGGTCCACTTGCTATTCGGAAAGTGGGTCCTCTCGGGGCCCATCGTTCCACACACTTTCCACTAATCCTTGGGCCCTCCGTGGCTAACGGGCCCGACACTTTCGCAGGGGTCCAGACCCGCACCAAACCCTATGTGTTGGTTCGGGCCCAGGTTCTTAGGGCAGAGAGTAGTCATATGAACGTTAGAGTGATTTTCCCGCATTGCCCAGCAAGTCTCACCTGGGTACTCCACAATCTCGAAGGTATTTGGCGCAGCATCCACGCAGATCATGCAATTGGTGCACGCCACTTCGTCGACAAAGAGGTGCTCTTGAGCGGCGTGATGCAGGCCCCTCTCCTCCTCGGCCACCTTGTTCCACTGGTTCCCGGAGAAGTTGATCTTGTGCAACGATGGCCACATCCTTCAATGTGCTTCGAACTGCCTACGGTGTCGTCTTTCGCGCTGTTCTTTTTTAACACTTGAACACCACCCTTGGACGTACACAGTTGGACGTTGCAACATGACACGCCGCCAGTCGCGGTTCACAGCTCCAACTCTCGAACCTCCCTGCCTCGATCGATCGGTTCCCTGCCAACGACCGGACCCAATGGACGTACCAAGTTCGATGTCCGACACGACCCGAGGGACCCGACCGCATTGATGCCCGTTTCAGCCAGGCATCACTTCAATGGGCTCGGAGGGCGATTGCAAGGAGTTGCCTTGCAGTCTTGCTTCGTATTCAATGCCTCACAGGCGTCGAATACGAAGGGTTTTGGAGGAAGAACTCTCATTCTTGTATGAGGGATCCCGACGACAAATATGTTTGATATGGGCTGCTCTCCAAACCCCAAAAAGGCAAAGGCAAGGGATGCCAAGCAATTCATCCCAGCAGGGAGTGACCCCCACAAGCAAGACTGGCACTAAGACAAGCAAGACTGGCACCTTGATGATCTGATTTGGAGCCTGGACTTCCCACCCCCACTGGGTCACCTCCTTTTCGGCCCTTCTCCACCCAACCCCCTCCCTGGCCGGGTCACGTCCGGCCGTCGAGCCCAGCAACGCCACCGCCTCGGCGAGCACGGAGGTCAGCGCGGCGCCGCCCGCGCCTCAGTCGGCCCGCGGCCCGCGGCGCGGGCGCAGCGGAGCGGAAAAAAAAAGAGGAAAAGCCATCCCTAAGGATCCAAGTACCCTCTGAGAAGGTGGGACTGGGGTGGGTGCCAGGAGGGTCCAAGTACCGAAATTGAGGAGGTATGACTGGATCCCTAGGGCATGTCAGGTCGAGATCTGGGGAATAAGTCAGATGTTATTGAAGCCTTCTGAGTGGAAAGACGTGCTCCTTCCCGGTGGATCCAAGCAATGCGGTGGAACATCATATACATGTCCATGTGACTTCCTGGGATCGGTGGGACTTAGACCTTGGATTAGCAAGAAGTCGCTGCATGGTGTCTAAGGCAGGGCACCCGCGATGTCCGGATGGCAAATGCGGAGAATGGCTCTCTGCCTGCACGGACGGGGACCAAAGTGGTGATCTTGGGGCCACCAAAAACTCTTTCGCATGGTTCGATGACTCCTTTTGCCTGGACGTCTTGCAACTTGGTCCCCCCCTGCAGATTCACATGGAACCCCAAGAAGCCACTAGATTGAGGATGGTTTTTGACGGGCTAATTCTCAGGGTCAAATGTAGTCTTCCAGGGGGTGTACAACTTGCAACTCCATCTTGGCGCCGTGCTTGTGCCTCTGCTTCAGGCTATCTGTGCTTGCACCAGCCACCTCCAAGGGGGACAGCTTCAGCAGCTGGTAGAGGTTCTGCGGCCCAGCACGCCGCACGCTACGTGTGAGTCGCCGCTTGGTGTAGCGGTAGGCGCAGGGAATCGCCACCTAGGTTCACCAGCCACGAACTGCGAGTGCGTGGAGAAGCTGAGGAAGTCTCATGTGTTGCTTCGTGCTTCTAATCCAACCAGGCCGCTACAAAGGCCATCACCAGTGCATTTCCTTCACTTCTCCCCATCTTGACAGTTGGAGCCGCAGCCCTTCTCACCGTCGCCCGCGGAAGGGGCCAACCGGCGGACGCGGAGGTCAGCGATCGCGGTTCGAGTGACATGGCACGAGGCACGAGACTCTGGGCTCCAGAGGCGGAGTGTTTTTGAGCGGCGTTTTCTATCGTGTGCAGGTGGGTGGACGTGGCTCACATGCGAAAGCCGTTCTTCCTAACAGAGTCAGTCCGTTGCACGAAGGACGTGGAACGGGTCAGGTTGGTGGAATTGGTGGAACGGCGTTGGAAAAAACTGCTTCACTGTGTCACCATAGAGGGTCGATGTCATGTGTTTGCCTTTTTTTGTTCGCTTCGGGGTTATCCTCTCGAGATCTACATCAACCAAAAATGCCAAGCAGTAAATTAGGCCATCTATGGCATCACTCCTTATGGCCATGGTCACTAGGTTCTGAAATGTTCTGAATGGTTCTGACCATCTCCTTTCGTCGACGGCATTCCATGTCCCAAGTTGCCTAGCACCTCCGAGAAATGGCCACGGAAGCAAAACCCCTGTCGCTGGGGAAGACTGAAAGACCAGTCTTAGCGGGACCAGGCCTTGGCATCGGAGTCCGTCTGAGACAGGTCAGGATGAGCCATGCATGGGCTGACTGGGAGAAATATCCCAGTCTGGGTTCGGTTTAGTAGCTTCTGATCCCAAGAACATCACAAAACCAGCGCGCCATGAGCTCTGAGATCCTGATGATCCTGCCCTCCTTTGGGGATCCCGACTTGTGACCTGAATGGGGAGCACCACTCATGTGGCGATGTTCAAGGTGAGGTTATTCACTGGGTAGGCACCCCGCAGCACAAGCATATCAACATATTGCGAAGACATGCGAAGACCATGTTAAGAATGTACGGCCCTGATCAAAGCAACTGACCAACACCAACAAGTGATCTATTGTTGGCTGTCATGCAGGCACCCAGCTTGCGCAACTGCGCAGGTCAGCTTCCACCGCAGGTTCCACCGGTGAGATGTGGACAGGAAAGCCATCTCTCCAACCTAGTGACCTATAGTTCTGGTCAAGGATGTGGCTCAATGATTTCAATGCTCCACAGCAAAATGAACAGCATCAATCAGTCCTGACCCCCTCTTTCAAGGCTTTTCTCGACCGCCATCCCAAGAGTCACTCTAGTCTCAACATGTCTCAACATGTCTCAACCTAGACCGTCCAGTCTGGAAACGTCCACCACACGCCCGACGTCGTTTTCGACATCGACTCAGCCATCGAATAAGTTCCAGGTGCCTCAGCTTGTCCCAAGCAGCCGCCACCCAAATGGACCGAAGGAAGGTGACCGTTGGAGTTGGTTTGAGTCGGTTCTGGAAGGACGATGGAAAGATGATGATGAAAGCATTCCTATTCCTTCCCATTCCTGATCGAATTCTTCCTTTTTCTTCCACCTTCGCCCATGATTTCTGAAGTGCCTTGAAAAAAAAGGCCCCGCCTCACAAACGCATCCACCCTCCAACTAATTGGTCTCCTGAGTTTCTCAACTTTGATCATGGTTGCCTCTGGCATGGCATCAACACAAAGCCAAAATCCAGGCATTCCTGAAAAAATGCATGTTCACTCTTCAACCTGCCCTCTGATTAAAAGCTTTTTCAATGCCGGACACGTCCAAGCCACCATCCTCCCGCCATTCTGGTAGCGGTTGAGGGCTGTCCACCTTGGGAAGCCAGCCAAGAGAGGTGAAGTGACCATATAGGACCCTACTCACTAGGGTACCTATGGCATACTATGGCATAGTCTATGGGGTTCTTCAACCTCTATTGGAGTGGTCCTACTTGAATGACCGCTGTCTAGCTCAGGGACAAGACTATACAGACCCCAAATAGGTAGAAATTACTATATTATATAACTACAAATGTATGGGACACCGTGCCACTATCTATTTTGGGCCACTAGAGTCACCAGCTCCAGCACTCGAATTCATCTCATTTCATGCGAAGGTCACTCAAACCCACTTCCATCACGGCGCTTTTGGGCGGCACGGCCAGAAACCGTTTCCACACTGCCGTGGGCCGAAGATGATCGCACATCCGCTGTCGGAAACGATCCTGATGGTGGAAAGGAGTTACGCAGCTGAATCCTTTGACTGTCAAAACGCAGCCAAACAGGCCGCCATGGCAAATGCTTTGATTGCCCCAGAAATGTAACAGCCATTGGGTCAGGCTGTTGAAGACCGACATGTTTGGCTTGCTCAGTTGTGTCGGCTATGTGGTCAAGTCACACCTTCCTATCCTTCCTATACCGAAGAGATCGACGAGGAACGTGTCAATTTGTCAACCAGCCTGAACATGTTCTTTTTCCACACCTCCCATGGGGAGCTGTCCTAGATGAGTTCCCTAAGGAGCTGTCTTAGATGACATCCTTGGCAAGTTCACCCCCCCCAAGGTTGGACACTCTGCGCTGAAGACTGGAGCAATGTTGGCAGCTGTGTGGTCAGCCTCCGGTGGAAGCAAGATGACGATCTCCGCATTTCATACAATGAATTGGCAGTTCTTTGTGTCTTCCGGAAGTTCAAGTGTGCTTGTCTTCAAGGTGAGTTTTGTACTTTTGCACAACTGACGAAGTGGATAAAAGGTTCCTTCACGTTTTGCAGGTGCAAACTTGACCACTGCCTTTTTCCTGGTTCCCATGAGGGGCATGTGGCGCATACTTGGGGGAAATCTATGCCCCCTGGAACCATTTGTGGTGGCAGGCCATTTGTTTCTGACGAAGAGCTGCTCTTTTTGGTCAAGGTTTCCAAACGCATCTCTGGTTCCGCAATGTCGCAATGGAACTTTCCTGTACGTGATCTTTCTTGAGTTTATTTGTGGACATGTTCGTTCACCATCCAGTGGAACGCTGGTGGTGCCGCGCGAACTCCCTCGGCATCAGATTGCGCGAGAGAGGTAGAACAGATCTTACTTGCAGCGCTTTGTTCCGAGGGTCTCATCTGAACATCTCTGAACCACATCCGCTCTTTCCTGCCCAACCGGCGGGTTGGGCATGTGACAGAGTGAAAAACCGTTGAGCGGATCGGCCGATCCCAAAACCACCCTCCACTCCATCGCCTGTCTAGGCTCATCGGGCAAGCTGATGGGGCCCTGCCAAAGAATGTCTGCAAGCTGAGCATGAAAGTGAAGACCAAAAGCAAATTGCTACCAGAAGACTTCCAACAAGCTATACCCAAAGCTGCTGCATAGAAATGCCAGCGCAATGTGATTGCAACCACGCATTTCACAGTTTGAAGATGTTTGAAGCAAAATACTAGCTGCATCTAGCTGCTACCCCTTCCCTTCAGCCTTATACAATGACTCTGGATGCACTGAAACAATGGCCCGAAATCCGGTTTTCTGATGATGTAGCTAGGCTAAGCCATGATGGGCCATGATGGGCCCATGACATCTATGACCCAACCAGTCAGATCATCTCTGGTGGAACCCGAAAACAGCCAACCCACCTGGCCTCTCTGGAGCTTTTCGGGCCCTCCCGTAGCATGCGGCCCACGTTCATGGACATCCACACCAGCCTCTGAGGCCGGGCCCAACAACATCCGCCCGATGCGATGGTCCGAGGCTGTGAAGCGGATTGAAGAAGTGACCGGCCGAGCGAAACCGGGGACGGTGAAGAAGGCGACGGCGAAGAACAACACCCCAACCAAGTCTTCCCAGGCCAAAATGAGAAGGTGAAGATGATGTGAGATCATGTCGCGACGGCTGCGGTCGTGTTTGCGCCGGCGCTCGACTCTGAAAACCCCCTTCGGACCCGGCATTCTCGCACGGCTCCGAACACACGCCGTGACCGTGTCGCGCGGCGTCCCTATCCACCCAGGCCCGAGGAGCTTGTGGTGGGCGCTCCGGTCGACGCTGCGAACGATCATCGCCAAGCCCTCGGCAAAGCCGACCTTGGGCTGAAACAACGAGTAGGTGGGACAGGTGGGACCTGGCACAAAAATCACAAAAGCGAAAATTGACACCAAAAGAGATCACACGTAATGTGTGATCTTCCGTTGTTGCAACCTGTTTGGGTGATCACTTGCCACAAAAAATAAACTACTATTTATGATCCTGACTGTGTTGAAATTTCGTCCAGGTGCCGAGAAGATGAGGTCGCTAAGGAAGACCACCGCAGGCTGGACCCACAGCAAGGCCTGCGGACCGAAGAGCTGCCGTTTGGATCGTTCGATTCACTGCTCACTTGACGGTAGCGTCATGGTGTTGGGACCAATCCCCACTTCTCTTCACATCTCAATCCTTGTTCATGGAATTGGATGGAAAAACGGGACCGACAACGCGGTGAGAGGACCATTCGGACCCTCCGCCGTCGCTGGTTTCGAGGGTCCGTGTTGAAAATCGATGGAACGGTCGGGTCCTTCTCCAGGTCGGGTCCTTCTCCTGCAGGTCAGGTCGCGCCTCGACGAAGGGATCGACCTGAGAGGCTGGAAGCAGCCAGGATGGCAGAAACCATACGACCCCACCACAGATTGGATGGATTGTTCAGCCCTACAGGAAGTCAGGCCGCCAGGCCCCCAGGTGCTAAGTCTGAAATGAGACTTGTCACTTCGAAATCACTTCGAAGACATGCGCCCTGGTTCCGAGAGAGACCCACGTGGAACCTCAAGAACGGTGCAGAACCACTGGTTCCACATCCATCTTCCATGCAGGTCCAAGTCTTCAGGTTCCAGGTGAATCTCTAAGACATTCTAAGACTCTAAGACTGCTCCATGCACCCGCCATACCGCTCCGTGCAGCCGCTATATTGGACGTTCGATTCCAACCTTCAAATGCAAGAGGGAAACGCCGATTCTGTTGTTCGAAGTCCAACTGCCATCTACAACCCCTCCGTCGGCACTCACCGCACACCTTTGCGAAGAATCATGGCTGCTCTTACTTATCTATCCTTGCTGCATGCTGGCTGCAGCTTCCAACAACAAGCGCGCAACCTCCCAGTGACAAAAACAAACATATAGAATATGCAGAGAACGTATACTTGAAATATATTTTCTTGTCCTGTCTGTGCTTCTTTGAAGTTAAGTTTCGCCCAAACGTCTAGGAAGCAAATGAATATATAGTGCGAGTCCAACGGCTTTTGGACATCCCGGTAGCTATAGGAAGCTTCCCTACCTTGCTATACTTGGCTGTGGATCGAAACCTGGAGCTCCAAACCCCGGTTGACTTCCTTAGCAGTCCACACAGCCCCTTTACCTCCTGCGAAGCCGGTGGCCGGGGTCGCGCGACCGCGTGCGCGACCGGACCACGCCCGCGGCTGAGCGACCCGCACCACGGTGGCCAGGAAGGCCAAGCCCGGGAGGGTTGGAAGAAGTCGCACAGCCTGGAGATCCCGAGAAACGCTGCCAGGAAGTGGTGAGGTGCATGAAAACACTCTAGATTCTAGATTGACTTTCGGGTCGTTGAGGTGCATGCTTGAACAGTCCCGCGGAGCTGCACTCCAGCTAGGGTCGCGAGCATAAGGCTAGTGGAGCGGAAAAGCCTTTCCAACACCCAAAGGCTTGGTTCCATCAACAGCCTCTGGAGGTTTTGAATGTTTTGAGAGGGGCGGAAGATGCCTGAGATCCTGAAATGTTTCAGTCTCATTCGCAGGTGATCCCTATTCCGCGAGAATCAATGCCACCAATCATGGCAACTGATTTCAGGGTCTTTCGGAAATGGGCTGAACCTTTTACACATGGGTTATGATGAGCAACTATGTAATTTTACATTTTACCGATGAACCACTGGTTGACTGCTTGGGGATGGTCACACGGGCCACACGAAAACCACAAGAAAACCACCCATCGGTCAGACCGAGCACACCTTGAAGCAGCTCATGAGTCCTGGGAACAGGTCGATGTCTCAGTCGTGGTGAGACTCGGGTCACTGAGGAGCTCATCGTTCACCCCACAGTCGCCCCGAGGAGCTAACTGACAGAAGACCCCCAAAGATAGATATTAGAAAAGTCGATCCCCACATGAACATGTCTTGGACACCGTGCCATCCTCTCTATTTGGGGGGACCACCACTGGGACCACCGCAAGCCGTCGTCCAGGATGCGTGGGAAAAGCAGGGTCTGCGGGGAGTGTTCCGGTGACCGTGGCCCGTTTCTCACGGATTCCATGTCTTGATGTCTGCACGTGACCGGACCCTCAAAGGATATGAGATTCTATGGTGATCCACAGGGAGTTCCACAGGGATAGTCTCTTGGATTCATAAACCCCTTCCAATTCAATTGGAAGGGTTTATGAATCAAGAGCCGGTGTGACCGGTGTCGCTGCGCTTGGCAGCCACTCCTTCATGGCGCACTCCGAACACGAGCGCCCCTGCCACACAGTGGGGCCCCAAAAAGGTTGGAGCGTCCGCCTGGTCCCCGTTTGGGCCACCTTTTTCTGCCCAGACCTCTGTGAATGTTCGAAGGGCTGATGTTTGAAGGAACTCCCTTCCCCAGTACACCAGAACTCCGTTTGACCACCGAACACCGAACACCCGTCTCCCGCCACCCAAGTGGCGCCGCCGCCAGCCCTCCGGCTCGCGAACACTCTCGACACCGCACCTTCTGCTGCCCGCACCGGACCTGAAAAGGTGCCGGTGTGGTCGACTCGGTGGTTTGTTCGCTGTATACACCGCAGAGCGATGAGGTGGGTCAGAACCCGAACCGTTCGACGATCCGCACCCCTTGGTGACGGGTCCTAGTTCAGTTCACTCTCCACCTCTGCTGTACTTATACGCCACATCATGGCGTGGGCGGGGCGAGCGTGCCGAGTCAGTCGCCCTAAGCGGAAGAACATTGGGCGATCGGGTCCGGGGGCGCGAACCTGGCGTTCGGGTGCACAAGACCCACCAGATGGGAAGTAAAGAAGAAGTGGCTTGGTCGTGGGAACATGAGATGCATGTCCACTTGCAACTTCTTATGGCGCCTGCGTCCGAAAAATCCTTATCCCCACTTCCACCTACCTCTGGAGATGACACCTATATGACCTACTTGGGCGGCACTTCCCGGTCTTCCCGGAGACGAAATGAATCAGATTGGCCGTCCAAGAGGCCCATGGAGAGCAAGCTGGTCCGGCCAGAAGCATCGCAAGAACAGCCCAAGAGCCAACTGCCCTCGTTCCACCCGAGCACTTTCCTGGGCTCCGATCCGCGGCCTTGAGCTGAGGCTTCAGTTTCGTTTCCTCAGGTCCTTGTGTGGTTTTTCAGGCTCCATTGAGGCCCAAAGGGGCTGGACTCGGCGCAGCAACTTGAAAGTTAGATCGTCCCGGAGTCGAGCCGAGCTTGGGGTGGTGTTGAGTCCCGAAGTGAGTGGATGTGATGGTCTGGGCACTCCTTCCTCCATTCGTTCGGCACTGTGGCGGCATCTGCGACTCCTTGTCAAGTCTCTCCCTCTCTCTGGCCCAACTGCAACTTCCCCTAAAGGCCGGAGACCAAGGGGGGGCATTGTAGAGTCTGTAGGGTTCTTGTCTGGATTATATATAACATTATATAACACAAAATGCCTTAATAACTTATAACTCATTAAAATGCCATAGTTGAGTTGGCGGCCAAAACCTCCACAAAGTAAACGGCCTCCTAGTAGCATGTGGAGTTGAAATCCACTGGAAGATGAGTTTGGTTTCATTCACCTCTGCCAAAATGCTCAACTGCCGAGCCCACAATCATTCCGACAAAGCATCTGCGCGATGAGGACAAAGGGGAAGAACCTCACTTGCCACCCGCCAGTGGTGGAAAAACTGTACTTTTGGAGTGCGTCGGCACAGGGGGGCTACTTTTGCAAGGGAGTGCCAGTGGGACGCGCGAGTGGCAATGCCGAGCTCATCCCCAAATCCGGACAGTTCAAAGGAGCTGCCTGCAACTCGCCGCGGAGTGCATGCATAAGATGAGCGACGTCTCCGATGCGCGAACTTGGCTTGGAATCGGCTCGACTGCATACAAGCGGGCGCTTCTGATTTTTTCAGGGCAACCTTGTCAAGCAAAATGGTTGACAGTGTTACACGAATGCACCCAGCCACCAGCAAGGAAACGGTCGACCTTTGTGGATATCTTTTACTCATTCAACTCATTTGGAACATATTTGTCAGTTCACTCGATGGGTGCCGACCCACCGACATCCACCGACCGAGCTGTTTTAGCCCAGGAGCAGAAATCCAAAAAAGTGGCTGGAGCGCGCGAGGCACAAGATCACACCTCGACCGCACGGCGTGTAGACCGGAACTTCGATCAACCGAGGGCCTAAAAGAGGGAAGTACTGCTGCAGATTGGGAAGTGCACCGAGCAAATGATCCCACCTACTGATCCCACCTGGACCTTCAAAGGGGTGCTCAATGGAGATCCTTGTGTAGGGTAGTCTATGGGAGACCCCGACATGAAGGTGCTGACCAGTTTCAGATCAAAGGCGATCAAATGCCGGCCTATCGGTGCCCGCTCCAAAGCCGGAGATGATACCAACGTGAGACCTCGTCGAAGCTTGCAGAAAACAACACCACGTGGTAAACACCGCTCGCTCTGGGGCCGCCGGGCGCAAGCGTGCGATAAGGACAATGAGCTCCAAGAACTTCTTGATTTGCCCTTCGGATCGCCGGATTGCTACTGCGGAGAGCTGGCGGACTATCCCAAATTCCTGGGGGAAAAATAACAATTCCTGCAAACTCACCTACATCAATCCACCCTGTTTGGAAAGGATCTCTATATCATTCTATCTAAGAATCTGGACTTTTGTTATGGAAAATTGTCTTCTGGTTGACCATGTGTTCTCACAGGGCAGCCAGCTTCAGTCAAAGAACGTTTGCCTAGAACAGCCACTTCACTGCAGTCACAAGTCATATACTTAATTATGCTGTATATAATTACATGTATTTTTTGCGTGCGGCCCCATCAGACAAGGGTAGCTCCTGAGTCTTACAGCCCAGTCTGCTTCCTTGGGATGCCTCGTTCTTTCTTCGCCTCAACCAATCTGGGAGGTTTCCTTAGAACCCTTAGCTAGCGCGACGGGCCAGCCTTGCAGGAGAACAGCGAAGAAGAGCCTCAAACGCAGCACCCTCGGTGTTTCCGGGCGACAACTGGTGCCCAGAAACATCCAAAACACCACCGGTGTTTGACGTCCTGGAAACGGGATGTGTCTTCTGGAGCGACGGACCCAATTGGTGCACAAACCGGATGTTTTGCACAGCCAACTCAAGATGAGTGAACTCCACGTTCGGTGTACAGTGCGACCTATCCAACAAAATCATCCTTGCCCTTGTCCTTTCTCGGGGCATCATACGGTCCATCCTTCCTTCCTTCCTTCCTTCCTTCGTTTGGCGCCGCACCTCAGGCACCTCGGACGCCACGGACCTGCGACCTCCCTCCTGGACGGCGACCGGTTTCTGCGGCGCCCGGCCTTGCCAAGGGCCACGCGGGAGTCTCGCCTGAACGGCGGCGAGTGGGGAAGTGCCCAACGCGAACGCGCACAGGAACAGAATGGAATCAACACCCTAGACTTCCGTTCGACCATTAGTAAACATGGGAACGACCTGGTTTTTGTAGTGTAAATCCTTAGTTGATTCGGTAAAGCCAATAAAAATCAATGGTGGTTGGACGCCTAGGGGAACAGAATCAACAGTTTCATGGGGCGAACGCAGCAAGTTGCAACTCCCAAACTCCGGTTCTCTACCGAGTCAGTATATCAAATACTGACTTAGTGCAGTAATTGCAAAAAAGAAAGGCTTCGAAAGGGAAACAGGACACCTGTTTAGAATCACGATCGCTCGCCCTTCTCGAGTCGAAGGCGTGTTGACGAAGTGACTGGATTGGTGGAGGTGAGTGGCCGAAGCTCAAAGATGGGAAGTCAAAGCTGCAGGACCTTCCAAGTTCGGTGGTTTTGGGACGCCTCCTAACCTCTAAGAGGCTATCTATAGACACCTCTTGGAGGGTCCTGGTAGATATCAAATGGCACATCCCAGCTGCTTCCGTTCGGGGTTACGCTGTAACCACCCTACACTGCGTACATAGGTCACCAGGCAGGACACCACCGGAAGTGGGTCCGCCCAAAAGCCTTCGAATGGATCATTTCTGATGAAACCTGCTCGTCGGCTTCCCGGACTTCGGGCCGGTTTTCCGAGGCACTGAAGGGCATCAAGCGCATCCTGGGAACGTGGGAAGCTGGGAAGGCTTGAATAAGGCCACGAGGCGAACATCAACACCTGGTGGATGCTGGGGTGCTTCTCCCTGCGAACACTTACGGTTTTTTTCCCTCTGGATGACGTCAAGATGCCAATGAGCTTGAAAAGATAGAGCAACGAAAGAAAGGCTAGCGGCTAGGGCCGACTTGCGAAAGTACACACTGTCAATTTACGCCATCTCCACAACGGAAAGCTGCTCTTCATCACGGCCAAAAACCAACCGGAAGCCTACACTACACCTGACCTGTCACATATGTCACCGCATCTGGTCCAATTCCGCCTGCTACGACCTCCGTACTCAAGGATCAAAGGCACCAAAGGTCTAGGACGCGTGGGCGCGCCGCGCCGCGTGGGTCACATCTGATCTCCAAGCTTCAAGCGACTGAAGAGGCCGGTGCTCCAGGCGGCCATCAACACCACCAGTTGGGCCACCACCCTGCTGATATTTCCAGCCACGGCCCGACCTCGAGCGGTCGCCATATAGAGGACGGGGGTGTTTCGAAAGGTCGGGAGGTTGGAGCTGTTGGAAGGGATTACCGAAACTCAAGGCTAGCAGTTCCAGAACTGAATGGTCTTTGGAACTCAAATCCAGAACCACGTTTTACAGCGTTGGGTCTATCCTATTACCTGTAACCGTGGATGATGATGGGTTAGGTTGCAGGCCTTTCTCTAAAATAGTGATAATTGTTGACTGACTGGTGCAGGTAATAGGACAGACCCAAGGTATTTACTTCTATTAACATTGAATTTGCATTGACTTCATTTAGTTACGCTGTTGCACTACACTCGCTTCATTTTACTTCCTACTGTGAAGGTCAAATCAGATCAGCTGTACATCCTCTCATGGTGTCGGACCAGTTCGGGGGCATCTGCCGCACCGCACCACCCAGGAGACGGAGACGATGATTGGATCGATGCAGCATGCACGGGGGGGTCTCTCAACCACGCGTTTTTGTGGGGTGGTGCTGGTCTAGACTGGTCTTTCTTTACTGACTGGTGCAACTCGCAGGGAATGAGGGTGGCTGGATCCAATAGAATCTCTATTGGGGGCTCATTCTTTTATTCCCTACGAGTCGCACCAGTCAGTTTACGTTCTCTTCTATTTGGCTGCACGCCCTCCCACCTCGTCTCGTCCTTTTCCCTCCTCGCCAGGAAAGCACCACGGAAGTCCGGAAAGCTCCGAGCACTCTTCGTGACCACGTCTGACCACATGTCTTCACTGGCACACCTGGAACTTGGAGGACATTCAAACCGCCTCCACTCTGCTACGACCACGGCGCACGACGTTCCGTGAACCTATCCAAACATCCATCGTCTCACTCGCCGCTCCAGCCAGGTGGGGTTGTAGCGTTGAGGCACTCGCGTTAAGTGGGCACATGTCTGCACCTCAATGAAGACCTCAGCGCTCCGCATGTTTGCGCTCCTTGCCTCTTAAGCAAATATGATTCAATACTCGTTATTTTTCGGCCGATGGTGTTTTGTATATATGCGTTCCCGTCCTGCACGTTCCCACCACTCATGACGATCGGCATTCTTGCTTCCCTGGCTGCTTTCCACCAGGGCAACCGGCCGACATGGGGACCCTGCAAAAAGCCGAGCATCTTGTGCCGATCATCGGGGAAGAAAAAAAAGACAAAGACTCGACCAGGACCCTCCAAGGGGCGTCTAAATTTATAGCCCTTAGCCGTTAAGGGGTGTCCATTAACCACCCCTTAAAGGTCCTGGCAGGTTTGGGATGTCACTTTTTTTGGGGTCCCAGTCTCCTGGGCCAGACCCATGCAATTCAGGCAGGCAGGCACGGCAAAGTGCTCCAATTGTCCCGTTTGCTGGAGCAGTTCCTGAAGGAGGTAGGTCAGGCAGGTCAACCAAAATGGCCCTGAGGTCGGATGAAATCCATTGAAATCCAAACGCCAAAACGGTGTTGCATCAACTTCCATGAGTATTTCGGGGAGTGTATCTCGGGATGTTCGAGAACAGCGGCGGTCAACCAAACTTCATCCCAATCTCCAGCAGCTCCCCGGTGGAACCACATATGAACCCTCCCAACCAATGACAAACGTCACACACAAACACACACTGACACTGTAGGAAGATAGACTCCCCCACTCCACTGCTTGGGATAAGGCTAGCTCTAGCCGCCTAGGCCTTCAAACAGCCACACACACCGAAAAAACCCTCGGCCTAGTCACCTCGGTCCTCAACACCCCGCGCGGAGACGCGAGGCGAGCTCACCCGCGGCTGTGCGCCTGGGACAGGAGCATGATGACGTTCAGGGACTTTAGCTTCGCCAGGATCAGCGTCCAATGCGGAACCGTGTGCTGCTCCACCGGAACCTCGGAGCGATGCTCGGTGACTGGAGGCGACTGGAGGCTGCTTGCTTCAAATGAGGCTACTTGCTCAATACCAAACATATCCAAAGACCGCGTGGCGCCATGGGTTGACAGACCTGATAGATCCTGATAGTCCGTGTTGTTTCAATTTCCTTGCGTGTTCGAACAACCATCCAATATGAAAGCTATCCAGCAAGGCAAAATATCGCAAGTCCATCCAAAAAGAGACCACAGTGCCACAGGTCATCAACATGGTTTGTATCCGTTGTAGCCAAAGGCGTCTTAGATGTTCATCAAAAAACTTCGTATTGCGCCCCTGTGTCGTCACAGAATCGAGCTTCACTTGTCCATGTGTCGTGCCAGCTGGGCCCAAAGAAAGAGGCTCTTTTCACTGCAACGACCTGGGGCCATGCAACTCGCACCTCCCCGGACCCATTTCGAGACTCGCGTCGTCTTCTCGTCTTTTGTTTCAAGCTTCATCCGGCGCATGCTGATACAAAACAATCCGCCCAGCAGTGAGGTAGATCAGTTCCAGCGTCACTTCAGTGAACAATTCGGCCTCCTCGTCCTCGCTCAGCGATTGTAAGGGTTCTGAGAAACCATGCCTTGGGCACAGAAGCAGCAAGCAGCGGCTGAACAGCACTCGGATCTGGAGCCCGACCCATCCCCCGCTCTTTCCCTATCCCGACAGCCCTTCAAGCAGCAGGCTAAGCTGGTACAACTCAGACTTGATGCTTCCGATGCCCCCGCATTCCTCTGCAAGCAGCTCTTACACGTTTTGATCACAAGCTCTCGTGACACCCACCTAAGCTCCTTTGCGTGGCCTAACCCTGTCCTCACAACTTTTCCGGATCAGTTTTCCCTGCGGCCAAGTCTCGCCAGGCCCAATAATAGAAATTGCCTGCAACGGCAGACTGCGTAGTAGGATGCCCTCAGATCGCCTTTGTTTGTAGGACCCCGTGCCCATAGCACAAGCATGAATTGCCGAGCATGTTTGGCAGGTTTCATGGAGCCGCTCTTGGGCGGCTATCTGCTATGAAGCAGGAGGTGTCGTTCGCCTGACCTCTTTGTGCTGTTTGGAACTATCGCCTTCGACAAGTGGAGTCCTTCTCAAGTATCAGATCTTTGGACCTTTTGATGCTTCGTGCCATCCATGTTTTTTCCGGTCCCTTAAGCTGTCGTAGATCGGGGTCGACGGCACCCGGGCGTCAGCCCGACTTGTAAAATTATATACTCTGACTCACTACTAACATGGAAGTGGAAAATGACGCCTTGGAAGGCTTTGGTTGAGCAGACAAGTGTGCAGGGAAGGCCTTTCTGAAGGGTGCCTTCTTCGGTTGCATGGTCTTTTGTCATGATGATGTGTTGAAGATGGTCGCTGCGGCCTTTGCGAGGGGTGCAAAGGACACCGCGTCCTCTTGGCAGTTTGCCTCAACTCTCTTTTGTAATGTGTTTCCTTAGGTTCGCAGGATCGCGGAAAGCCCACCTATCGCCGGACGCGTATGCTGGCACGAGTGACAAAATGATCCCCTACTTGGAAGACTACTTTCCTTTACAAACAGAAGGTTTTCCACTTCCATGTTAGTGAGTCGGAGTGTAAATATACATTTTTTTAATTACATACCTGGACCCTTGGGTCTATCCTATTACCGCCTTTCTCTAAAACGGTGATTTTTTGCCGACTGCTACAGGTTTATCATGGGACAGGCCCAATACGTATACGTTTGTTACATAGGGGTAGTTGATGGTTGATTTCAATGATGACCCGCCAACCAACACTCGTCCCATGGAGTGGTCGGGTCTTCGTCGCTCGCCTCGCCTGGCGAAGTTGAAGATGAGCGAATCGGGCGCCAGCGTCGAGCGTTCGTGGATCTGCCCCAGATATTCCAAGAGGTAGCGGCCCGAAGGCGTCGAGTTGCCGCAGGTCGGGTGGAACATCATGCGCATGCCACAGCGGCCATCATCGCCTAAACCTCGAAGACAGGGGTGTTCAGGGTGTTGAGGGCTTTTGACATCGCGACAGGAAGGCTATATAGAAAAATAAGGATGAAGAAGGCTACGGCTACAACTATCAACTGGAGGTTGACACAGAAAGCTTCCAAGAACTTTCGGCAACATTGTCCAAGCCAATTTGCATCTCCAACAACCATTGGAGTTCGGATGGGATGAATGAAAGGTGGCCGCGCGGAAAGCGCATAAATCAGTCATCCGAAAGCCCCATGAAACCTCCGGATGAAGCTGAAAATCACACACCCTGCACCATCCGTAACCCGCAACCTGTGCTTCCAGCCCCCAACCTCGGTGACGGTGCCCAGTTCCCTCTCCACACGCCTTCCATCCAGTTCCGCCAAACGATCTCCAACGAGCCGAACAGACCGGGCGTGCCGCACGTCCGAGCGGCGGATGAAGCCCCAAAAGCCGCCGGGGCGTGGAAAGGCCACGGTGTGGCTGCCATAGAGCTGCGCCCCGCGCGGGGACAGTCCTGCGTTTCGACGACGAACGAGCACCGGTGAGGTTTGGTCGACCTGGATGGCACCAATGCCACGAAAGCTCTGTGTGACGGAAAAAAAGGCGTTAAGAGGTCAATGATGAGTAAACTGAGCCCTAGGCTTCCAACCACCATTGATTTAATAGGCTTTACCGAATCAACTAAGGATTTACACTACAAAAACCAGGTCAACCATGTTTTTTAATGGTCTTGGAAGTCTAGGGTGAGTGGATCTGGTCATCTGGATGCCACCCGCCATGTCGTCGCTCCGTAGAGGATGGAGGAGGCCGGCAAGCGGCATGGGTTGGACTCGATGCGTAGCACTGCTACCTGAGCACAGAGGCGGCACAAGCAGAACAAGCAGAACAGCCACCAACGCTGAACCCAAAAAGATATCCGGCCGGGCAGTGTGGACGTTATATTAAATATACAGTGAATCAATAAGTGTATACCAAAAGGCTTGAATAAGAGGGCCCAATGACCTTAAAGCATCAGAAACTCTACTGAAATAGTGTGAGTCCAGGAGAGGTTGAGCAGCCCATGTTCAGCCCATTTTGAGGGCTATCCACTAGGCCATCCCATATGTACCACAGCTCTGGTCAGGTCCAAGTTCAGGTCTCAAAACCCTCTCTTGGCCATGTGTTTCTATCGAGTCCGCTACTGAGTCCATATGAGTCCGCTATATCCCAGATGCACAGCTCGAGTCCGGCGAATCAGATCCCTCCTGGCCCTGTCTGACCCCTCTTCCGCTGACAGCGCCTGAGACCTGCGGGCGAGCGGCCGTGCCCTCGATGGGCCCGACCCGCTGAGCGGCGCACAGCTCCGCCAAGAAGCTGCGGACGGGCACCTCGCCGTCGAAGAGGTAGTCCTGGTGGTCGGATGGTAGGCCGGGGGGTCGGGGAGTTGGAACCATACTGTATGTCTTTTGGCATCCTCTTCTTTCTTTCTTTCTTTCTTTCTTTCCTTCCTTCCTTCCTTCCTTCCTTCCTTCCTTCCTTCCTTCCTTC